GTTTTGTTTTTTTTTTTTTTTCAACCCTGGGGCTGGTTTTTGGCGGGGGGGGGGGGGGGTCGATCTAAGTTACACAACTTCAGCTATGTGAATAATGTAGCTGATGTTGACGTACTTAGATCGACTTACCGTGGTGTCTTCACTACTGTGAGTCGACTGCTGCCGCTCCCTTGTCGACTCTGCCTGTGCCTCTTGCCCTGGTGGAGTACAGGAGTCGACGGGAGAGTGCTCGGGAATCGATTTATCGCATCTAGTCTAGACGCAATAAATCGATCCCCGCTGGATCGATCGCTGCCCGTGGATCCGGCCGGTAGTGAAGACGTACCCTTATATTGCAGTAGCATCTAGCAGCATGAAAAGGCTGAGGCCTGCTTGTCCTATGCTCTTTATGAAACTGACATTGACAAAACTGACACTGAATTGAATGGGGTCAGGATTTCACCCATAAATTCTACAGACACTTAAAAACTGAACCACACATTTACTCTCCAGGTCAGAGAGAGAATTCATACAGTAAATAGCAGTCCCTGTCCCAGTCTAAATGACAAAGGGTGAAATCACGGCTATGGTTGGGCAAATTACTGATATTTTTAGTTCACTGGCAATTTTGAAAAAAGGTCACCAAAAATCTGTTTTGGGTCAGGCTGAAAATAAATTTAAAAAAAAAAAATCAGCAAACTGAAAAGCTGAGAAAAAAAAATTGTTTGGGGTCAAACAAAATCTTTCATTTTGATTTTGACCGTTTAAAAATGTTTTTGAATTTAAAAAAAAATAAAAGTAAAGGAAATATTTTAAAAACTCAAAGCGTTTTGTCAATGTTGAAATCAAATGTTGAAGGTTGCATACATTGTTTTTGTTTCCTAAACAAACTGGTGAAACTGACACATATTTGTGAAACATTTTATTGTCACCTAATCTTCATTTTTCCACCCCAAAAAAAGTTTTGGTAAAAAATGTTTTGCCCTGCCCTTATCCTGGGCCCATAAACTAGCGGTGTGCACAATTCCTAGCCAATCAGCAGTAGCATCAGTCATAGTAATCTCAAACATCCAGCTATTGGTAAAACTGGTAAAAACACCTAAGTGACTTAGAAGCCTACATCCCAGATTCAAAAGCAATTTAGGGCATGTGCACACTTCAACTGGGGATGTAATTCCCAGCACAGAGACATACTCACTCTAGGTCTGATCAAACTAGTATTGTAAAAACAGACTGTAGAGGGGGTGGCTCGAGCAGCAGGAAGGACCAGCCATCCCGAATATATACCTGTCCGAGGTGCTAGGCCCGTACTCGCACTTCTAGCCCCTCCCGCTGCTTGCACAGCGGCAGCTACACTTCTGTTTTTAGCACGCTGGGTTGATCAGAGCTAATGCAGGTCTGTATCCTTGATCAGGGAATTATATTTCCAGCCGGAAGTGTAGATGTACCCGTCAGCACTTAGGAGCCCAAGTCCCATTGATTTTAATGAGATTTAGGAACCTAAGGGCTAGATTCACAAAAGGCACTTAGGTTTCAGAGCGGTAGCCGGGTTAGTCTGCATCAGCAAAAACAACGAGGAGTCCTTGTGGCACCTTAGAGACTAACACATTTATTTGGGCATAAGCTTTCGTGGGCTAAAACCCACTTCATCAGATGCATGGAGTGGAAAATACAGTAGGCAGGTATAAATACACAGCACATGAAAAGATGGGAGTTGCCTTACCAAGTGCGGGGGGGGTCAGTGCTAACGAGGCCAATTCAATTAGGGTGGATGTGGCAACTTTTAGGCACGTTGCTACCTAGTAGAATTCAGAACCCTGGGTTAGGTGTCCAAGCTCCCTACACAGTGCATGGGGAGAGATACACACCTGAGAATGGGATTCACAAAAGCCAGCATGCTGAGCGGGGAGCCATCTAAACCAACCAATAGAAAATACTGAGCAGAGAGTGTTGCCTAAGCACCATCCCTCAAAGGGAGTTGGCACTGTAATCTCTTTGGGGCAGGGATTGCCACAATGTTTGTAATTTGTAAGCGCTGAGCACATTGACGGTGCCAAACAGAGTATAAACAATAATGATATTTAGATCCAGGGTGACATTTTTCAGGCAGGCTTATTTTTGATTTGTAAATGGAACAAATTTGGTCTGGATTATTTGAGAGGGAATAAACATACTATGGTGATGGAAGTCATCAAAGTACCAAGACAGAAGGAACCCCACAACGTCATTGTTACAGTTGCCATTTTGCCTATAGTCTCACTTCAAAGTGACCACTTGCAATTGCTTTTCTGGAACACGGTGCCCATCGGGACTATCTGTTGCCAATATAGGCTGATTCTGTCACTCACATGTCAGTTTTGCCAATAACAAACAGATATGATCTGAAAACACACACAACAGATTGTTTGAGCAAATAAGCCATTTTTACATGGCCTTTTTTCTGACTATAACCATATTTAAGCAACGTTTTCTCTTCAATTTTGGAAGAGATGCTCGGAAACTGAGGATTTAAATAAAAAACAAAAAAACCTGTATGGGTTAAACCTTGGCTTTATTGAAATCAGTGGCAAAACTGACACTGGGTGAAATCCTGACACCGTTCAATTCATAACTTCTATAGACATTTAAAAATTGAACCACACATTTACTCTCCTGGACATTTTTCAGTTCAGAGAGAGAATTCATTTGTAGTAATCAGCTCTAGTGGCGCAAGTGATTCATCTATCTATCTAGGCGAGATCCTTAACCTGCAAAATTATAACTTCAATCTACACAAGCTCATAGCTTGTAAGGTGCGTGAAGATCTTTTGGGTTGAAAGGGGCTTTAGAAATGTGAGTTATTCTCATTCTGCAGGCTCACCTCCTTCTATCCCAGCAATGTCTCTTTTGTTCTCTTCCCGGGCATGGTGCAGATTGGCACGAGTTGAACGCTGCTGTGGCGGGATCTGGGAGGATTTCATATTGCTCTTTGCTTGTGGTACATTAGCCTGTTCAATCTTTGTTTCTGTATTGAAATAAACAGTTACATCATTCTTAGTCCATTCAGGGCTCAGAGCCAGATACTGTATTACTTTAAGAAACAATCTATTGCTTGTGAATTGGCATCTAATCTTGTGTGCGTTCTCTCTGCCCAAAAGGGGGAGGCTTATTTTATGATTACACTTCATTGCATTTTACCTTTAGGGATCACATTTCTTCACTTCAGCAAAACTCTGTCTTCAGATCCTCACGATATACATTGGGCATCGTTAGAAACTCAGGCTGGTCACAGCCAAGACAACTACACAGTGCAACTCAGGAGTGAGGCTTTAAACCATTTTTGGGCTTCCCCATTCCTGAGCTATTTGCATACTGGAGTCGTTCCCCAGCATAGGTTAGCACACTTTGAAGGTGCTCAAATTACGCCATCTGACTGTGAGGGCAACTGGGGATTGCTGGCCTGCAGAAAAGTCCTGACCATGCTCTGTTTCTTTCCAGCCATTCCTCTTACACTGGCAACTCTAGACCTGAGGATATTTCTGCTCTGGGGCACTCCTCCTGAAGCTATGCCAGTTTTAGGGCCACAAGGTAGAAAGCATCCTTAAGTTATAACCTGGGCCTTTATATTTGCCACATCACATTGAGTTGCCTCATTATTTCCTATTCTAAATACAGGGGAAATACAGGGGCCAAGATTTAAAAAAAAAAAAACAGGAGCCTAAAATTAGGTTTCTAAATCCTGATTTAGACACCTAGATAAGTGACCTGGAATTTCAAAGGTGCTGAGCTCCCACTGACTTCAGTACCATTGCTCCAGTACAAGGGAGAGGAGAATATGGCCTGATCTTTTTAAAATAGCCCAGTTTGGATAAAAAGGAAGTTACAACGTGCAATTGAGCTGTAGGGTGCTCTGCTTGGATGCCCTGTACTTAAGGCACTGGGCTGCGATTCAGGAGACCTGTGTTCAATTCCTGGCTATACTCCCTGCATGACATCTTGGAAATATGACTTTCCAAAGTGCTCAGCAGTTACCACTGATGACAGTTTTGGCACCATTGAAAACCTGTCTATTACTCTCTGTGTGCCTCAGCTGCCCATCTGGAGAGTGGGGATCATAATGCTTCCTTTTTCAGTTATTGTCAACTCTTTGGGGCAAGGACTAGCTGTCTTATTATGTGTATGAACAGTGCCTAGCACAATAAGACCACGATCTCTGCTGGAGTCAGCTGAGTTCCACTGAGTCAGACCCAATGTGTACAGGAGATATGAACAATGTCAATAATACCAGCCCAGCCTGCCTTACCATTATTACGGAACTCTGTAAGGGTCACTCTTTAGACTCCAGTGAAATGGGAGAGACTCTGCAGATGGAGAGCTCTCCTGGGGATTCCCACTTACTGAAACTTTTGCTTTTCTTGGACCAGCAGAATACAAGAAGACCCATAACTAGCACTGAAGCCACTGAGCCCAGCACAGCAGCAAGGACCGTGATGGATTTCTCTCCCTTGGGGATAGGGAAGATGGTAAATGGCTGGGACTCAACAGTGAGGTCAGCACCTGAGAGAGGAAAATGTGTCAGATTATTACAACATTTAGGAAACATGTTTCATAGCCAGAACACCTGGTTATGGCCACTAACACAGGAACTGATGTTTGAAAATACATTCATGAAAGGGCCTAAATCACAGCCCAATGAAGTCAATGGGAGTTTTTCCATTGACTTCCACAGGCCCCGGATCAGGCCCAAACGGAACATGTAACCAAACCTTTCTTGAACTGATAAAACTGCTAGATTAAAGGCATGAACTATTGCTATCGGTTCCCGACCAGCTATCTGAGTGCCGATCATTGGAAATTCGAAATTGTTCTCGGATATCAGACTTAAAGCCATGATCCAGCAAAAGGCACTTTGAGAATGTCTTCAACAGAACTATTCACGTCTTTAAAGTTGAGCACATGCTCTGCTGGACTGGGCCTAAAGTGCTGTTAATCTTCTCCACAGTGTTGGTTAAAAAATTATAAATAAGCAGTAGGAATATCATTACTATTACTAGTGCAACTATTAACTGTCACATATTGTACACATTGTATATAACACCCTTTGTCCAAAGCTACCACATCATTCTATAAACTGATTAGGAATCACTTCACCCACCATTTAAATGCAGCATTTCTTTGGTGTATACAATAACGCTGCGCAAGAATATGAAACAGAATGTGAAGATCACAGTTGAAAACTACACAAGCAAAACTGGGGGGTGGACAGAAAGTAATCTCCTGGTTGAAATTTAGCCAGATCACCTGGGCCAAGACACCCCTGTTATAACCTGATTTTGTCATCAATCCCAAATCCGCAATTCTGTTAACTTTAATGGAGATTTGTTTAATGTACTTGTCTGAGTTATATTTTCAGTACAAATGTCTAAGAGGCTTATTTGCTGATTTATTTAAAAAAACACAAACATTGGCAGATGGGGACATGAAAGCAGGTATAGTACCTGAAACTACTTTTATTTGAACTTGACTAGATTTCAACCTGCCCTTGTCCCTTTAAACAAACTCAGGCTCCACTGGAACAATGTGGCAAGCAAATCGCAACTGACCAGAAGTGGCGTGCAGACATTTAAACATAGGGACTTTTAGTAATAGTGGATCAAGGTTTCTCAAGGTAAATCTACACTACAATTAAAAACTCATGGCTGGTCCATCCCAGCTGACTCGGGCTCATAGGGCGGAAGTTAAGGGGCTGTTTAATTGCAATGGAGACGTTCGGCCCAAGTTCTAGGAACCTGGCAATTGGAGATTGCCAGGTTCGTAAAGCGCAAGGTGGGAGTATCCCAGAGCTTGGGCTGCAGCCTGAGCCCGAATGTCTACACCACAATTAAACAGCCCATTAGCCTCAGCCCCACGAGCCGGAGTCAGCTGGCAGAGGCCAGCCATGGGTGACTGAAGTGTAGACATATCCTCAGACATCTAGGACTCAAATGAAACCAGAATTTAAGGGCTGGATCCAACTCCTATTGAAGTCAATCGTAAGATTCTCATTGACTTAAAAGGGAGTTGGATCAAGCTCATATAGATCCATATCACTACAGGGAATGATACCCAGAAGCAAACAGCAAGCCTATGCAACACTGGGTATGTCTGCTTTGCAATCACAGAGCTGACTGCAGTGGCTGGCATACTCGTGCTAGCTTTAATCTAGTTAGCATGGCTAAAAATAACAGTGAAGACACAGCAGGGCAGTCTTCAGCACGGGCTGTACAAGCCTCTGGGGACCTACTTGCATTGCCAGCCTGCACTGAAGCATACTGCTACACCTTCGCTGCTATTTTAGCTGTGCTAGTTAGATTAAAGCGAATGCGCGTCTGCCAGCCTGTGCCGCGATCCCACCTCTGATTGCAGTGCAGACATACTCACCCGTGGAAATAATCTGCTCCCTCCAACCAATGCCACTATTCAGTTGGGGCCTCCACATTTAGCACCAGCTGCATCTTCAAGGATAACCCCATCTAGGAATCCAAAAGGGAGGTCACAGGGGCATGAATAATTACGGCAGGCTGCGCATGCAAAACTAATGATAGAATTTGATCCCAAGTGCCTGGGAAATTACTTTTTTTGTTTGTTTATCATAGATGCCAAGAAAGCATCTGCTATAAATGTCCAGCATGCAGTACACTCTCCAACACAGTTCCCACTGAAGGAGATTTAAAAGGCAGAATTATCTATGTTACTCAGAGTGTATTTTTTATGATGTATGTTAAAAATGTACAGTATTCTGGTTTAAATTAGTCAAAGATCATGCAAAATGAAACAGCTTTTCATGCTGCTGTCTGAAAAGATCTCTCAGCACAGTCCTTATTAGCTAAAAGTGTAACAAAAGGGATCCAGGTTTGACCTTCATTCAATGGGAAGATCTTCTAACTTCACTGCAGTAGCTTTTGCAGTGAATTTGCAACATACCACACTTCCAGTTTACGGGCCAGAGACCTGCTGGGAGCTGAGTTCCTCCTGATGCCAGTGGGAGTGCAAGCAGTGGGAGCTGAGGTTCCCAGGAACTTGCAGGAATGTACCCCATAGCAGAGCCCAAATGCTCACAGTTTAAGGGGACATAGGTATTTTATGCACCACAATTTAGTCTTTCTAAAACTGGGGCCATTACACACCTGAGATGTTTAGACACTAATTTGTGAGTTCTTAACATTTCAGTGAAATATTCCAGGCTACCACAGAGCTGGATTAAGGCAATCCAAGGTACTAGCCACACGATCACATGGGTTCCCCATGGTTCTGCCTCTACCCCGTGGCCTGAGCCCCTCCCAGCAGAAACTCTTCCCTCAGGACCAACCAGGGTGCAACTGCTTCAGTGGGTGGACTGGGCCATCTGCACTCTCCTCTTCCTGCCACAAACACAGACTCCTCTGCTAGATGGTGCTGGCAAGCCCCCCGCCCTCCAGAAGAGTGGGTCTTGGAGTTAACACTGCACCGAGAGGGATGGGGCAGTTCAGAGCTCTTGTTTCAGGCTCTCTGCAATCTCAGACAGACAACACTGCGTTGGCTTCACTTAAGTCAGGTTTCCAATCTTTTCTTCACAACCATCAGGACAAGAGACCTATTTTTTAAAAAACGAAGGCTCCGAGTCTGATATAATCACATGACTCCAGATTGTGGGGCCCTAGGCTCAGATTTGTAGGGCCTAAGCCTGAGCCTGAATCAACTGAATTTCGACTGCCAGTCTCGCTCCCTGACTATTGTGTTCCAGTACATTGGGAGGTGAAATCAGTGCTTTGAGATATGCATATACATTGATCTCATTCCTTCCTGTGTTGCCTCTGGATGCTTTTAAAGACTTTTCCATGACTAAGGTATAGCAAGAACAATGTGGAGATATATCATGGACCTTACCTGGAGGTGAAATAACAGTGAAAATGAGGTACCAGTTTGAGCCTGAATTGGAGATTGCCAGGTTCGTAAAGCTAGCCCGTCCATCTCGAACCTCTACTCTGGTGTGCCCTGAACAGCAAAACACAAGGACACTGGGAGTTAACAACCTTCTGCTGAACATCACCAAAAGCAAGCTCCTAGGTCGCAAAGAAAACTCAACAGGCCAAATCTTCAACTTTTGCAGATCTGCACAGCTTCTACGACTTTAACGGCACTACCCCAATATACACTAGCTGAGGGGGTGGCCCCATGATCTCTGACACGAGTAACAGGCCTACGTTGTAAAATTCAGAACCAGGTCCGAGTTGCCCAAGAGTTCAGAGCAGACCAGATCTAGGGTCATGGCTTAGTTCACTATAGAGATAGGACCCACCTATGAAGCTCCATTTCAGGAAGATAGGAAGTATGGGCCATTGATTAAGGTGTTAGGCTGGGGCCAGGGAGACCTGAATTCAATGTCCTACTTTACTACAGACTTCCTGTGTGACCTTGGAAAAGTCACTTAGTTCCCCATCTATAAAATGAGGACAACCGCACTGCCCTGCTTTGCAAGAATGGTATAAGAATAAATCCACTAAAGAAAGTGAGGTACTATGGTAGTGGGGGACAGATAGACAGATAAGTACCTTAGACAGATCCAGAGTAGCAGCCGTGTTAGTCTGTATCCGCAAAAAGAACAGGAGTACTTGTGGCACCTTAGAGACTAACAAATTTATTAGAGCATAAGCTTTCGTGGACTACAGCCCACTTCTTCGGATGCATATAGAATGGAACATTATATGCATCCGAAGAAGTGGGCTGTAGTCCACGAAAGCTTATGCTCTAATAAATTTGTTAGTCTCTAAGGTGCCACAAGTACTCCTGTTCTTTAGACAGATCCAGTACCTCATTTTCCCAGAACTGGGGGCTGCTTGTATGCAATGATTTGGTTTGATACAGCTCTAGTGTTAACATATCTGAATCTGAGAAGAATGATGCCACGGGCACTGGAGCTCTGAGGGGATTTTTAGTGGGATGTTGATTGTTATCCAAGCCAGCCTCCAAGAAGCAGCAGCAGTTTATTGTTTTAACCCAGAGGTGGGCAAACTACGGCCCGCGGGCCACATCAGGCCCGCGGGACCGTCCTGCCCAGTCCCAGAGCTCCTGGCTTGGGAGCCTAGCCCCTAGCCCCTCCCCCGCTATTCCCCCTCCTCCACAGCCTCAGCTCACTGCGCCGCCGGTGCAATGCTCTGGGCGGCGGGGCTGTGAGCTCCTGGGGCAGCGCAGCTGCAGAGTCCGGCCCCTGACCCAGTCGCTGTGCTGTGTGGCGGCGGCGTGGCTCAGCTCCAGCCAGGCGGCGCAGCTGTAGCGCCACCGGTGCTCCAGACAGCGCGGGGGGGGGGGGTTGGGATAGAGGGCAGCAGAGTTCGGGGAGGTGGTCAGGGGGTGGGGGTGTGGATAGGGGGCGGGGTGGTCAGGGGGGATGACAGGGTGTTGAATGGGGGCAGGGATCCCATGGGGGGCAATCAGGAAGGAAGAGGGGTTGGATGGGGTGGCAGGGGGCGGTCAGGGGACAGGGAGCGGGGTGTGTGTGGATGTGGTAGGGGTCCCGGCGGGGCCGTCAGGGAACGGGGGGTTGGATGGGGCAGAAGTCTGGGAGGAGGCAGATAGGAGGTGGGGGCCGGGCCACGACCCCCTTCCCTAACCGGCCCTTCATACAATTTATGAAACCTGATGTGACCCTCAGGCCAAAAGGTTTGCCCACCCCTGTTTTAACCCCTTTCCTGCTCCAGCCTCTCAGCTGTACCAGACACATGGAGAAGCTCTATAGGTCTGTTTTGCCCTACCTGCGGGGTAAATGAGTGGTATAAAACTCTCTTGAGTGGTATATAACTTTGAGTTAAGGAGCGGATTTCTGATGTGCAAAAAACAACAGCATAAGCTAATTCATTCCAGCCAGACAGCTGCAACAACCACTGGGGCAGAACATTCCTTCGATTTTCTGCAGTACATTTTGGCCCAAAAACTAGTTGTGCATAACTAGTGTAGCATGGAAGAGAGCCCCTTGCACACAGGTTATTAAACAGTCATCAGATGGCAGTGGCTTTTGTTCATTCCAAGTGCTGCCTTCCTTTCAGAAGCCTTGGAATGACTCAGGCCATGAAGTTTCAATGGGATGTTTGTCATATGATCAAACAAACAAGTGGATCTGTCTCAGCTAGAAACTTGTAAGACAAAAAATCTCTGTGAAATGTTTTAAGATTAAACCTGAGGCCTTGATTCTCCTGAGGCCTTGCACTTTGTGTTGTCATTTACACCTATGCAATATGGGTGTCCATTCTGACCCAATAAGGTTTTACCCCCAAATTTGCATTCACTATGATTTCTATCTCAGCGGGGTCATTTAAAAGATAGCCTGTTGCAGTATCGAGGGTATCTCCATTTTATTTTCTGAGTCTTTGAGTACCAGCCAAATCTTGGGCTATGTGGAATGCTAGCCAAGTCTTGAGCTTCATGCAGGCTCATGGAATGAAAGTGGCAGTGTTCTTGAAGATTGACAAACTTTCTAAATATTGCTTCAGGTGAGGGTTAGAAATCAGAACTTCCTTAGGATGCTGGACTCAAACCAGAGATCACAAATGAAAACTCCCTTACTTGCTGAAAGCCTCCATACAATAAGTCCTTTCTTTATGAAACAAGTGCATTATAGCTGTGATGACTTTGTATAACCACATGACAACACAATATACCAGGTGAAGGTGCCTTCTGGTCATTCTACTATTCTGGGGATGGGGACAGATCTTTACAACCATCTCTTGGATTCACCTTCAACAGGAAAGCTCATGCACACCACAAATTCACAGTATTGTTAAAGGGAGGCAGGAAGGTTTTAAATTATGGCCCAGATTAGATACCCTTTCTCCCACTTAGTCATTCATAGTTCACAACACAAGTAGCCCAGCAGACTTCAATGGAACTATTCATGATGCAAAGTACTATTCAGCATGAACAAGGGATTCATAGTCTGGGCTTCAGCTAGTAAGAATCCTAATTCTAGTAATGTGCACTTGTCAAGTATCAGGGGGGTCTCAGGCTTAAGCATTTCAGGTACATAATGCAGGCAAAACACAGCACCAGAGCTGCCCACCTCACTTAACAGGACTCCATTGAAAAGCCAATGTCCCAGCAGCAAAAAGGTTATTGAAATGGTACAATCACTGGTGAGAAGATAAACTTGGCAAGGGTTGTTGAATAGTGAGGGTCTGATCCAACCCAGGGAGGCGGCAAAATGTTGGGTGTGGAAAGAGAAGATGAAAAGCAGTGGGAGTGCTGGGCAACTGCATGGCAGTCCAGCGACTGCTGCCTAGTAATTTTGGACAAGTCACTTCCCCTCTCGGTGGCTGTTTCCCCTGCTACCCACAGTCTGTCCTGTTCACTTAGATTGCTGGCTTTTTGCAGGAGGATCTGTCTCGGCATCTGTGTATAGCACAATGGAGCCCAGATCTCAGCTGAGGACTCTAGTTGACACTGTAATATAAATGCTAATAATTAGTAACTTAGTGAATAGTCCCAATGATTTCAATAAGAATCTGGACCTTAACCTAGCAGTGTGGATTTCCCTCATTGCCAGTGTCAATTCTGGCTCTTCTATTTATCTAGGTATTTATACGGCCCTCGTGACCGCCTTGACTACCCATAGTGTTTTTGACTCTACCATTTAGCTCACTGTAACACCAGTTTTATAGAGCATCCTTTCAGCTGCATTCTAATGTTTTACAATTGCCATTCTGAGTCTATGATGAAGCCTAGAGTAGTGTACTGTACTTTTCAACAGAGACTATCTCAGCTTTCGGGCACATATGCTTCAAATCTCAGAATATTATAGATATATATATATGGGAGTCTTCACAAAGATCTCTCAGGCAAGCTGGTATTTAACGCAGAAGCAAGCTAATTTGGAGCTAAACTACTTTCCATGAGGCAGTTTGACTGCTGTCAGATGAAGCAGGCTCAATGCGCTAGACGGATACATTTCGATTAAATGCTGCTTTCATATGCTTCAAAAGACGAGCGCAATAAGGACGTTTGTCAAAGGAAAAACTGCAGCAAACTATTACATGCAGAACATCTGTACAGCACAATTCATTCTTTGCTGGAGTTTATTGACTATTAATTTGATGCATGTATCTTTTAAAGAATGTAAAGTGCATTTCTTTTCGGTGACTATTCTTTATTTGAGTCTTTTACCTCCATTTGTTTTTAATTTCTCTCTTTTTTTCCTTCACAATTTATTTCGTTTCAAGTTGCAAAATGGGGAGGAAAAAAAGTCGTTCTTTCCAAACGAACTGCAGATTTTTATAAAGCTTATTCAAAAGTCATGTGAAACAGAGAAGTGTGACACAGGGGATCTGAGGATTTCACTTCTAGGTTGTTGGTTTCGATCCAGCCTATATCGGTAGTGACTGAAACTTGTCGTCATCTGGCAGTTGTTCTGTGGACAAGCGTCGACGTGACAAAACCAACCCAACCACTGACACCGTGGATCATCTCCTCAGTAAACAGCCATAACAACTTTGATTTCCATGGAGCTAAGCCAAACTGAGAAAATGGCCAGGCTTTTGACAATCTCAGCAGGTAGGCCAAGAAATTAATAGATTCATCGATTTTTTTAAGGCCCAAATGGATCGCTGTGATCATCAATTACCATTTTTGTACATCGCACAGAATTTCACCCAGTGATCCTAGCACCTAGCCCAAGAACTGGTGGTTGAACTAGATCCTGGAAACTGCCTGCCCCTTTCACTTTCCTGGAAATGGTCTTGCCAAGTCGAAGTTAAGGCACATTCAACCTGATTGTAAACCCAAAACCTTCCCGTGGTAGGAACCCTGACTTTTCACCGGGGACGTTGCTGGTTTGCCTTTTGAACTTGAGCTGGAAAAAAGCAGTTTCAGCCAAGCTGAACAGAAAAGTCATTTTAACCAGACTCCATTTTTTCTGACTTTTCCATTGGCTGAAATGTTGTGAAAAATTTCATTTTTGACTCAACAGAAATGATTTTCTTTTCATTTTTTCAGAATTGCCAGAGAACCAAAAAAAAAACAAAAATCCATTTGCCCAGCACTATTTTGAACCTCACTCAGCTCAGGCAGTGAAGCTAGCATGGTCAATTTTATGCTGTGTTTATAAACAGCTTCACTTTCATGGTTTCATGTACCACACTGTGATGTCTGGGTTTCCAACTCAGCACAGTACTTAAGCTGGGGCCTAAATGTAAGCATGTGAGTAATGAGCCTTAATAAGCTCAAAGGGAATATTCACTTAAAGTTAAACACGTGCTTATGTATTTTGCTAAATCAGGGCCAGAAGGGGAATTTTCTCACTGGAATATACTACATTAAAAACAAAAACAGGTAGATATTTCTATTCATATTAGGCCAAATACTCTGCTGGTATAAAATCTATGTAGCTTCATTGACTTCATGCCAACTAACACCAGCCTAGCACTGGGCTATAGGGACTTATAATTCTCCATCTGTTCTCTTTTTTTCCAGGACCTATATTTCGGGTCTTCTTTACTGGACAGTGTCTCTAAGTTGACAGGGCATGGAAACACATTTTAAAGCCATTTTTCTTCTAACACCCATGTGAGCAGCCCATCACAGATCTTCAAACCCAGCCTTCTATTTTTAGCCCAATGATGGGCCTTCAAACTGAATCTTTCTTCAAAAGAAACTCCTCAAATTATAGCCATCACTTCTAGTGGAGGCTTCCACCATAGCATATCCAAAACATATCCAAACCTTTCAACACAGCCTCCGAAGAGCCCTTGAGACAGGCTGTCATGACCCATGGCTCTGAGGGCAGACCTAATGCCTCAACTCTCCGACCCTGCGAAGAAGAAAAGAAAGCAATAAAAGGTTTGTTCATTTTTTTCCCAGAGAAACGGGAATCCTTTTATTTCTAAGGCAACTTTCATCTATTGATCCCTAGCAGCAAGAACAGCATGTATTTACATACTATGTGTTACAAATTGCATCATACAAAGTATTATATTTACTGCAGATGAGCCTAAATCTAGAGTTGCCAACTCTCACTGTTTTATTGTGAGTCTTGCATTATTTGGTGCTTCCCATAAACCTCAATTTCTAAATGAATGTGATTAGAAGAAAATCTCAGCTTTAATTTTTTTAAAAAAGTACATTTCTAGCTATCCTGGTTACAGGGAAAAACTCAAAAATGTGAACCCTAAAGACTACGACACCATAAGACAAATAAAAAGGACCCCAAATATTGTTTTTTTTTTTTAAATTGTCATGATTTTAAATCTAAGCTCATGATTTTGGGGAGCCCAACTCATGATTTTTGAATGCCTGGGGATCGCAATGCTGTAAACCATGGAGTCCAGTTCTGGATCCAGACACAAACTTCCCCCAAAACTGTTTGGATTTGGTATCACAGTTCAGGACACACCTGATCTGCAAAGTTCATATCCAGGTTTATGTAGATATTTGCCTATGATTTTCCCAAGTCAGGGTAAAGGGGACTGATTCATAGTAGAAGCTAACTGCAAAGTAGCAACAGGAGAACAGGGAGATGAGGGATCCCAGCTAACCCCACCATACAGATCAGTGTTGCCAACTCTAGTGATTTTATCACGAGGCCCACAATATTTCATGTTTGTTTTTTTATGCCCCAGATTCAGGGATCAGGAGATTGCATGAGAATCTCAGCTTCAAAAAAGGAATGTTTTAGTCCTCATAGTTGAGAAGAAAGGCTTGAAAACATCACCTGAATATACCCCAAAGAAAAAGAATCCAACATTTATTATTAAAAAAATAAATCATGCATTTCTAAGCCAATCTGATGAGCTTCGAATGCTTGGGGTTGACAATACTGCACAGAAGTAATAGAATCATCCCCCTGTAGGGAGGCAAATCACTACCTGCTTATCCAAAAAAATAATTTGTGGCTGTTCAGGAAGCTCTTTCTCCATTTCTCCATCAGACGGCTGTACCAGGACAGAGATATTATAGGGCCTCACATACAGGCAGCCTCCAGGAGTTAGACTGCTTCCATTTCTTCCTCATGCAAAGCAATGTGGAAAAAAAATCACCATATTATTAAGGATGATTTTAAAACACCTGATTCCAACCCTTGAGCAATTCCCTGGATACCCCTTCTAACTAGACATTGCTCTCCATTTGCAGAACTTTGTGCTGTTTTCAGTCCAAGTGGAATGCTCAGTGGTTCATATCAATTTGAATTAACATTGCTGCTAAGATTTAATAAGACACTGTATCAATTTCCCAATAAGTTTCTTTAATATTACAGTAGGACTTTGAGACTCCAGGTGAGACAAGGGCCCCATTGTGCGAAGTACTGTACATACCCATAGTAAGAAACTGTCCCTACCCCAAAGAGATTACAATGTAAACAAAGGATTCCCAATTTATCATCCTTACTTTACAGATGGGGAACTGAGGCACTCAAAAATTAGTTGATTTGTCCCAGGTTCACGCAAAAGTGTGCAACTGAGGTAGGAATCAAACCCATAAGGCACTCAACTGTGAGTCAGGAGCCCTGAGTTCTGTTCCCAGTTCTACTACAGGCCTGCTGGGGGACCTTGGGCAAGTAACTTCATGTCTCTGTGCCAATGCTTTCCCTAGCAGTAAAATGGGGCTACTGATGCTGACCTTCTTTGTAAAGTCCGTTGAGATCTAGGACTGAAAAGCTCTAGATATTATCTCCTGAGTCCCAGTCCACTGCCTTAACCATAAGACCATCCTTCCTGCACATTCAAAAACATGGATTCTACAAAAATCATCCTGACTGGCAAGATGCATTCAACTGAATATCCCTGAGGTCTTCTAAAAAGACACTTGCCTTCTCCAGCATAAGGACAAGCTTACTAGCTTAGACAAAGTTCTTCTGTGTAAGCTTGTCTCTTTCACCAAGTTGGTCCAATAAAAGATTTTACCTCATCCAAACTGTCTCTCTAATATCCTGGGTCCAACATGGCTACAACTAAACTGTACATTCCTTTCTCCAGTGATGTTGTGCTTCTGTCACTTGTATCAAGGTATGTTAATGTGCAGAGATACACAGACGCCACTTTAAAAAGCCATTGGTATTCCAAGAGTGAAATTTAAATTCAAACATCCTGAGAGAAGCCTTTTGCAGTTGAATAAAGAAACAACACTTTATTCGGAGCCCATATCATTTCATTCCCTTCTCAGTGCTTCATGTCATTTAGCATCTTCTTTTTACATATATATATACCTCTAATCTACCATTGCAGTGAAGGGAGGCGACTGGGGGGTTGACATTGTCTTGCAATGAAAGGAGGAAAGCTATTCATTCAGCTCTCTAGTGTTTGCTTAAAGGTGGTTACAAACAAAAGATTTATTGAGGACCAATTCACTTTGGTTTAACTCAATTTCTTCAGACTGTTTCTTTGCATTACAAAATAGAGCTCCCCTGGGCAAACTGCATTGCAGCTTAACACAAAGATTGGGCCCAGCCACAAAGCTACTAATAGTGGCCAAAGTTTTCAGGGGCAGTGGCAAGTGGTAGTCTAATGCATCGGGCCTCAGAGACCTGGGTGCTATTCTTGGCACTGACCTGCTGTATAATCTTGGGCAAATCATCATCTGTGCCTCCATTTCCCTTCCAACTATCTTGGACGTTCTGTATGGCAAGGACCATCTCTAACTCGGTGTATATATAATGCCTTGCACAATGGGGTCCCGATCTCAGTTGGGGCATCTAGACACTACTATAATGGATCATAATCACAATTTTGGTGGCCCAAATTGAGACACTTCACAGGAGACTGATTTTCAGAGGGTGGGTGCTCAGCACATGCTGAAAACTAGGCCCCTTTAATAAGCCCCCAAGTTGGGTAGTCAGCAATTGACAAGCTATTTGTAAACACCAGCGACTTTTAGAACTGGGTGAGAGGCAGGGTGGTGTGTAGAGGACAGCATACTGGTTGGGGAGTCAGCACAAGTAATGACAAAGCTTTTCTAGTTTCAAGGAACAGCCTCCCAAAACGTAGCGTTGGGAAGCAGCCACTGACACTTCCTGATGGCAGTAACATTCCTTCTGTAGATTCATTATTAGGAAAAAATCACCCATAGCTGTTTTTAAAAAAAATATGGGCGGGTGATTAGGACCCAAACATCCCAGCAGAGATTGACATTTCTGTGCAGTGTGCTCAACCCTGATTCTTGCTGGGCTGAGGCCCTGAGTATGTGGCACAATTAATTTACATTCCTGCAAGGGAATGTCAGTATCTAGGACAGGAGGACAGCAGCCTGATCTGTGCCAGAAGGAAAATAGGCTCACCAGCCATTCCTCTGCATCCCTTCCTCATGGGGGAAAAGGCTAGCCTGCTGCTCCACACTAACTCCTACCAGTGGTGGAGTGGGCAAAGCTGCCTCTCCCAGTCTGATCAGTGCTAAGGGAACAGCATGTTTTCCTGTCACTCCCTTGAAGCCCAGTGCTGGCAGGGAAGCGGGTTGGTTTGGTATTCCCTGCTGACAAGGCTCAACAGGAAAGCAGGTTAACCTGTCAGTCCCCTGAAGATCTCCATGGGCAAGATGACTCTGCCTATGAAGTCCTGGTCAGGAGAAGCCCATACCAGATTCTGAAAGATATTACTCCACAGGGAGTGGTAGCACAGAACATACTGAGGCCTGTCGGAGAGCAGATGTCTCTTACGCAGGAGCAGCGAACTTAAGGGTGGCAGAAGGAAACTGGAATAAGCGGGGCACCTAGAAGGAGGCATCATAAGAACTGAGAGGGTAAAGGGAGAAATTGGGCTGCACTGACAGAAGGAAATTAAGATATTCTCATAGTCACTGATCCTGCACCACTGAAGTTAATGAGTTTGCAATTGACTTCAAGGGGGAAAAAGGCCTGATCCAAAGCTTACTGAAATCAATGGGCATTTTTCAATTGACTACAATGGGCTTTGCATCAGGCCCAGGGGCAGGGAAGACAGGAAAGGAAATTAAGAAGCATTCAGAAGTAACAGAGGAGATGGGGAAGCATTTGAGAAATCAGTGATTTGTGGGGTACAGTACATGTAGAACCCTAGTGTTTTCTATTGGGAGTGAAACAACTACTGGTGGGGGGAAAGGACATAGATGGGGAAGGAGGTGCATAATTAGTGTTGCCAATTTTGGTTGGATGTATTCCTGGAGGTCTCATCATATGACATATGATTAATCTTTAATTCCTGGAAGCTGCAGGACAATCTTGGAGGATTGGCAACCCTATGCATAACAAAAGCAGGAGGAGACATGCAGACTACTGATTACTCCTGATTCAGTCACATAATATGGCTCATATCATTCAGCAACAATGACGGGACAGTGGTCGTGTGGGCTCTCAGAGCAGCGTGGGAGCAGGATAGGACCCCTCCCTAGCCCATCAAAACAATATAAAAACAACCTTCCTAGACCTACACACACACAGCACAAAGCTGAAGAAAGAAATTCAGCTTGGAAGCAGGCTTCAGCTTTAAGTTTCTTTGGTTTTGTTGGCAACAAAGCAAGAGGTATTTAAAAATAACATCAATAATGTCCCTTTACAAAGGCTGGGCAGTTGATTGAAGTGTGGTGTAGTGGGCTGAACATGACCCTGGGAGCCAGGTATTCTGATTTGCCTCCTCTTTGACTTAGGGCAAGTCACGCAGGCCAGACTTCTAAAACTTGGGCCCTTCAATCCATATGCTAATTCTGCAGGGAGCACATGCTGACAGTAAGCTTTGAAAGAAGCCATGTGTCCCATGCCCTGGAGGTGAGAGTCTCTCAGGGCAGGGAGCTAAGCAGAGGAGATATAATAGTTCAGGGGACTAAAGAGGAGGGGCAGGATGACAGTGTGAATTGGAATAAATAAACAAGTGACTCCATTATCCTTTCTGAACCAAACTGGACTAGAAAAGGCAACTCCAATGACTGATTGTTTGGGGTTTCTCTTCTTCAAAAGCAATAGAAACCTTCTGTTAAAAACTGGGCATTTTGGGCAATCCAGTATATTAGAAAGGATTGGGTAAGGGAGACAGATTCAAGAACATGGATTAACTTGTGGTTCCCAGCCTTTTCAGGCAATTAATTGTTCTACAAATAAATCAAAAATAGCACTTAAAGACCCCAATTAACATCTCTGCCCTATCGTGCTGGGCGTTGTACATACACATTGTCCGAGACAATCCAAGCCTAGGATCGAAACAGATGAAGGAAGTATATTACCCCTGTTTTACAACTAGAGCGAGGTTGCATACATAAGAAGCCTGTTTCAGAGCCAGTGGTTGAACCCAGATCTCCTAAACCCCAGACCATAAGGCCAGCCTTCTCCTCTTGTCCAAGTGTTCCCAGTTGACCATCATGAGGCCCTGGCTGTACCGAGGACTGGAGGAGTGCAGCTCCCCATCGCAGGTGAACATATGCAAACCTGAGTGGTAAGCAGACAGCAGCAGTGCAGCAGGACTCAGCAGAGTGGCTCATTACGGTGGAGTTAGCCATTTTTCAGTGCCATATGTTCTGTAGCAAAAAGAGCACTGCTTTTCTTTTTTAAAACAGGCACCCAGTGTTATTCAGTGGCATGCACCCTGCAGAGCAGGAAGGAGCTGAATGTTCCAAAACTGTAGGGAGGGGAGTTTAGAGTACCAGTAACAAACATCCTGAAAGCTCCCTGGTCCCATTCATTATTAACTGGGAACCAGCAGAAGTACCTGTACTCATCATGCTGCCTACTAGTGGCTAGGAACTAAGCCAAGCTTCTTCCCTAACACACTCCTTAAGTTTACTGTTGGAGGAACATCTTTTATTACATGTAAACAGTCTCACGCCGAAGGTCAGAGTCTTGCTGTTGCAGCATATCCCAAGGTAATACCACTTTAAGCTCCATATAAACTCTTAAACAGTTTCTATCCTAAAACCAGACCGTAGGTGGTACAGTTTTTTACGATATGTTATAATAGTGCAATAAATCTGTTAGCTTAAAATCGAATCTCCGTGGCCTTTTAGAGAAATCATCATTAAATGCAAGGCCCTGTTAATGATGCCATCCC